GCTGCGGCCTCTGGTCAGTAGTTCCAGTGGCTCGGGCCTCGGAGTTGCTTCACCTTATTTCCAAGCGGCTGGGCTCCGTCCCTGGGCAGCTCCCCGGGCTCTGAGAGCTCCCCTTCCCCGTGGTGCCTGGCAGCCACAGGATTTCGGGGTGCCCTGATCAGGGAGCCGGCTTGCATTGGGAGCCATTAACCGCCCTCCCGGAGCGCCTGTCCCCCCGTGGGGCCGAGGGCGCTGTCCAGGGTGGGACGGGGACGGGGCTGTCACAGGCACACGCCGTTTCAGTTTGCAGGAGAACGCGATTGGCGACGAAGGCATGGCTGCCCCGGCTGGTGCTCTGAAGGGGAAAACCACCCCGGGGAGCCAGCAGGAACGGCGGTGGCTCCCTAAAAGGGCAGGCAGGCCACGAGCACCTGGATTGTGGCCCAGTCCTTGTGCCGCCCCGTTCTCCCCAAGGCCCCCTCCACTGCTGCCCCCCAGCTCCACGTCCCCCCACTCGCCTTTGCGGCTGGCACAAAGTAATGGGGCCGTGCCCCTTGGGGGTGCGTGGTGGGTGGAGGCCGGAGCGACGTGAGCTGGGCAGTAAGGAGTGGGCCGGAGCGAGGTGATTTGCAAGGAGCCTGGTGGTCACAGGGCATGGCCGGGAGCGACTGCCTGGGGAGCTGTGTGGCCAGGTCTCCTGGGGGATGCGTCTCCGGTTGCTGTTGGCCTGTCACAGGTCAAGTGACCCAGGTGACGTGCCAGCCCCTGCGGCTGCTGCAAGGGGGCTCCGGCAGGCTGGTACTCAGAGGGAACAGGCCCTTCGCTGCCAGGCCATGGCGGTAGGTCCCCGCCGCACTCCTGCCTGGCGGCCGTGACGGGTGCACAGCTCGCAGAGCCGCGGTCAGTGCTGGCTGCCCCGCAGCCTCCGTCTGTTTCCTGGCGAGTCGCTCAGCGGAGAATGGGCTGCGGGTACCCAGCTCAGAACTCAGCCCCTGGCTGGGTGGGTGCCCTCACTGCAGGCCCCGTCCCTGCTGCTCTGCGGGGGGGAACGTGCCAGGCGGGGACCGACTTTGGCCGCCATCCCCGGCAGCCTGGGCGCTCGGGGCAGCTCGCCATGAACCGGCCTTGTTCTCTTGCAGCCTCCAGGTGGCTTCCATCGGTGTGAGCGGGGCCAAAGCCCTGGCAGAGGCCTTACTTGTGAACAGAACGCTCACCACTCTGGAGTAAGTACCCCTGCGCCCCTGCAGCGCACTTCTCCCCGGCCCCTGCGGGAGACAATCGTCCGCTCACGCAGGAGGCTGGGACCCGTTGGGAGTCCTCAGTTCCAGCACGTCTGAGCCCCAGGCCAGCTGGCATGTGCTCGGTCTCCCCTCCCCCACACCCTAACCTTCCTTCGGCGGGCACTGTGGGCGCCCTTTGTCCTAATGGCCTTTGTGTCTCCTGCGTCCCCGGCAGCTTGCGAGGGAACTCCATCGGTGTGGCTGGAGCCAAAGCCATGGCCAGCGCCCTGAAGGTCAACCGCAGCCTCCGCGTTCTCAAGTGAGTCCCTGCCACGCTCAGGCAAAGGCTACGCATCCCCCCAACGCCCGGCCGGCAGGCAGTGCCGGAGGGAAGGTTCCCTGGGCGGTCTGCACTCGGCTCCCTTGGGCGCATGCGTGCGATCCAGGCTCTGATGCTGTTCCCCCACCGGACCCATGTCCTTCTGTGCAGAGGTTTCCCTCTAATCCCCTCGATCTGTTTCGGAAATGGCTGAACGGCCTTTGCTGAACGGCGCCCAACAAGTTCAGCCCGAGGCAGGCGCCTCCCATGGGAAATTTCAACCCAAATGGTCACAGCTCGAACTGATAACGGGGGGGGGGTTAGCGAGGCGCCTTCACCAGCCCGCTCTGAGTCTCCAAACGCTCCCACACTGTCCTGTTTCTTTGCTGAATGTGAACAGCAGCTTTTGCCCCAACCTGGTGGCCTCTGACCTGCCGGCTAGAGAGAGAGCTGTCAGCAACGGAGCCCTGTGACTGGATTGGGATGTCACTGTTACTGACCCTCTTGTGTGACATGGAGCAAATCGGGCAGCACCGGCAGCACACTATGAAGGAAGAAATTTGACCCACACTGTCCTGTTTCTTTGCTGAATGTGAACAGCAGCTTTTGCCCCAACCTGGTGGCCTCTGACCTGCCGGCTAGAGAGAGAGCTGTCAGCAACGGAGCCCTGTGACTGGATTGGGATGTCACTGTTACTGACCCTCTTGTGTGACATGGAGCAAATCGGGCAGCACCGGCAGCACACTATGAAGGAAGAAATTTGAGCCAATACGCAGAGCCCAGAATGGATAAAAGTAGAGGGGGTAAAAGATAAAAGCAATGAATTCAAACCAGGTTTATTTTGACCAATAAGCCTGTTTAAAATGAAATTTGAAATCGCCAGTGTTAAGGCCTAAACGTACTCTATTAAGTTAAAATAATTTTACCTTAAAAAAAAATAGCCGAAGCCGTATGTGTTTGTAAGAAAGCCAAGGCACTGCCCTGGGGGAAGCCCGTGGCTAAGCAGCCGAAACCAGAGGCTGCGGCAGTGTTAAAGCAGCTTTGGAGAACAGTCACTTCAGGTGCAGAGAGAACACTTTCCTCCATTCACTTATTCAGCTAGCTCAGTGATTAGCACTCAAGCGAAGCAATGTTTGGGCACTAGAGAAGCGGGACGGGGCGTGTTTCTTTTCCAATCTACGACTAAGAATCACAAGCTCCACTAGTTCTAAAATCTTGTAGGACTGACCCGAAACAATCAGTTCAGTTCATACCTAGGGAGAATCGTTCTGAGGTTTTGATAACTCAATTGGTTTTAGTTACAAAACAGGGATAGTTTTTTCTTGTCTCTAGCACATTCGGCCAGCTGTCATGGTACCAACGCAACTCAAAACTTCCCGTAAAAGGCACAACTGCCAAACAAGCTTAGAACCGATGCTTTGATCGAAATCAGTCCAACCTGACCAGTCTGCAGCGGAGGGGATGAGGGGCTGGATTTGCTTCGTAGTCAGCCTGACAGAAATGTGGTTGGCAGGTTTCCTTTGGGGACCTGCAAATACGAACAGCCTGTTAGAACAGCCGCCAGCCTGTGCCACTGGGCCAGAGGCTGCCGCGTTCGTTTTCTTGCCCCCAGCTGCCAGGCATGCTCCTGCCCATGCCGAGTTCTCCGCCCAGACCCCACTGGGACAGAAAAAGGGGCCCGTGTCCCAGGATTTCTCCCGGCCTCTCTTCTTAACGAGCCTTTGTCTCCTCGCCAGCCTCCAGGAGAACTCCTTAGGCATGGACGGGGCTATCTGCATCGCCACGGCTCTGACCGGCAACCACGGCCTCACCTACGTCAAGTGAGTTGCTGCCGGGTGTGGAGTCGCGTGTGTGGCTGGCAGAGGGATGGAGACGTGGGGGCAGGGCGTGACCTCCCCTGCCTCTGGGAACGCGGCGGCCATGCTAGTGTCCCTGCAGGACTGGCTGACCTCGCCTGCCCCGGGAGGCCCCAGCCATCGGCCCTTACCCCTGCTTTGCTAAGCTGTCCTTCGTGGGCCCAGCCAAAGCCAGACGTGGGCGTGGCTTGGAGGAGGGAGCAGCTTGGCCCGTGTGGTGTGAGCTTGCGTGCACCACGGATATGAAAGCGTGTGTGTGTTTCCCAGCTCCTGGGCACGTCTACACTGCAGACCTCGCCTGCCCCGGGAGGCCCCAGCCATCGGCCCTTACCCCTGCTTTGCTAAGCTGTCCTTCGTGGGCCCAGCCAAAGCCAGACGTGGGCGTGGCTTGGAGGAGGGAGCAGCTTGGCCCGTGTGGTGTGAGCTTGCGTGCACCACGGATATGAAAGCGTGTGTGTGTTTCCCAGCTCCTGGGCACGTCTACACTGCACACAGCCCAGGCTGACGGAGGTGTGGGCCCAAGCCCCTTCTGTCCCACTCAGACTGTGCTCAGGATCGGGGGCCTAGGACCCTGCGGGGGGGAGGGCATCTGAGCCAAGCCCCATTAACTTGCAGCCACAGCCCCCAAAGCGTGGCTGGGAGACCGGCCCCAGCAGGCGCCAGCCCCGGTTATGGTGTAGTGTGGGCTGTGGACGTTGTCCCACAGCCCCGTGCGCAGTGGGGCAGGACCCGGGCAGCCTGCTCTGCAGCACTGCTGCGCTCATGCCTGTCCCGTGTGCTCTCCCAGCCTGCAGGGCAATCGCATCGGCCAGTCCGGCGCCAAGGTGATCGCCGACGCCATCCGGACCAATGCCCCCTGCTGCGTCGTGGAGATGTAGGGCCGTGGCCCCGGGAAGCGCCAGGCGAGCGAGCGGAGGCGGGGACGGGGCAGAGACTGGCTCCAAGGACCCCGTCCCGGCTCACTGCCCCATGTCGGAGCGTGGCAGCTCCGCCCTCGTGGCCAGCGGAGGCCACTGCACCGGGACCGGCTCTGTGACGCTGAGTCGCTCAGAGTCCACGGGGGTGGGGGTGATGGAGGCCTCGCTCCAGCAATGAAAGCTGCTGCCGTGGCTGCTCCTGCCGGTGAAGGACGCGCCTCTCAGCAGAGCAGGGGAAGGATGCAGCCGGCTGAGGAGCGAGCTCGCGGCAGGGCCTGGGAGGGGCCCGCGGGACGGGTGCAAGTGGGCGGGAGGCAAGGTGCAGGGCACAAGTGCTAAGCCTGTGACCTGGCCCCGGGGACAGAAAGTCCCACTGCCAGCCGGGGGGCCTGGGGCCCAGTGCGGTGAGCAGGGCTGCGAGCACAGGGCACTCAGTGCACCCGGCACAGGGAGCCTGGCACGTAGCCTGCTAGGCCCGGACAGCACGGAAACTCGCCAGCCAGCATCTTCCCCTCACGCCTGCCCAGCCCCGCAGGCCTTCGCGCTAGGTAATCCCCGGGGGTTGCACACGGCCGGCCCACGCAAATCTCTGCTCCCAAGGCTTGTCACGGTCCCTGGAGCAAGCTCCAGGACTGTCCGTGTGTCCTGCTTTAGGGGGTCCAACAGGAAACCTCTTCCCTCGGCTCGCATGGCGCTCCCTGGACACTGAGCTCTAGGGCAGCCACCCAGGAGGGTCCAATGCTGCCAAGCTGAAGCGCCAGCAGCACGTGTTTGTGTGGGTGGAGCACATCCTCTTGGACCTTGGTGCACCTAACAAAATGTTCCCCACATGGATGGGGACAATGAGAGCACAGTGCTTGTGAGTACGGCAGGGCCTGCACCATGAACAAGCCACCAAGCCCATGCTGCACCCAACAGCGAGCGACCCAGCGGCTCAGCCCCCGGCAGGCGGGAGGGGGCTGGGCCCACCGAAGGCCAGCCAGCCTGTGGGCGAAGGGGAGGCGGAGTCGGGCTGCTCTGCGGAGCTGCAGGTGGCAGGGAGAGGGCCTGGCCCCTGCCCAGTTCTCTACTTCCAGGAGTCAGGCAGCTCCTAGTCCCAGAGTCCCGCCAAGCGCGAGGCCGAGCCCATGTTCTGAGGGCGTCCCCTTGTGGCTGGGAGGGACGTGGGGGGCCCATGTCCGCTGCCCTAGGCCAGGCTGGCGCTGCTCAGCTGCCCGCTCTGAACGGGCTCAGGGCAAGCGACCCGCCGCACGGCCCAGCTGCCAGGGCTGAGCTGCAAGGTCAGGCGTGAGGGGAGAGATCTGGCGAGCTGCTCACGGAGTTCAGGTGCCTAAAGGGCGTTGAGGGGCTGTGGCGCCCGGCCGTGGCCGTTGCTGTGGGCACTCAGTGCTGTTTGAGAGGGGGAGGTGACACCGGTACCCGGGGAAGAGCCAAGCCGCAGGGCCTTCCTCTGCAGGTGCTGTCACTCCCACAGGGACAGCGGCTCTCCTGCCGGCGCAACAGCAGACTGGCTCCACCACGGCCCCTCTGCAGGGGCTGGCTGGGGCCGGGAGGAGGTGCCAAGCTCTGGAATAAAGACTCTGGAATAAAGCAGTGGCGGCCCGGCATTCTCCTCTGCCCTCGGCAGCTGCCGTTTGGGACTTTCCAGGGGGAAGCGACAGTCAGTTCCATCGCTGAGGTGTGGACGCCACGTCGGGGCCGTGCTCCCGGCCGGGCGCAGCCTGTGCCAAGCTGCTGCCCCAGTGCAAAGGCTCCAGCCAGGAGGGGCTTTGGGTGTGGGTGCAGTGGGGCAGCGCGGAGCTGGGCGGCAGCACCAGCCCTGCCAGACCCTCTCCTGGAGCGGTGGCACCCAGCACATTTAGTGCACTCGTACCAGCAGCAGGCCAGCTGCTTGTGTGCTGGGGCCCTGCTCAGCCTTGCTGGTGCCAAGCCAGGGGGCGGGCTTAAAAAATGGAGAGCAAATTTGCAGCTTGGGCTAACCCACCCTGCCCAAGACTTGGAACGTGGGTGGCTCCCCAGAGATGGCCCTGTCCCCAGCCAGGTCAGGTCAGTGCGGTTGGAGGCGTGTGGGAGTTGGGCTGGATGGCCCAGCCAGCTGGAAAGACGCAGGCCGGAGAGAGGGACAGCGAAGCAGCAGAGCCAAGCTGGTTCTAGCCATCGCTGTGACCAGCCCAAGCGCCCCACGGGGTTTGTTTGTAAAGGGCTGCACCCAGATTCCCAGCCTGGAATGGGACCCCCCCGCTCCCCGAACGGCCTGTCTCAGCTCCACCGGCTGGTCCCCAGATTCCCAGCCTGGAATGGGTCCCCCTCCGCTCCCCGAACGGCCTGTCTCAGCGCCACCAGTTGGTACGCAGGTTCCCAGGCTGGAATGGGACCCAACTCCCCCCCGCACCCCGAACGGCCTGTCTCAGCTGCGCCCCGAATGGCCTGACTCAGCACCACCAGCTGGTCCCCAGGTTCCCAGCCTGGAATGGGTCCCCCTCCACACCCCGAACGGCCTGACTCAGCTCCACCAGCTGGTCCCCAGGTTCCCAGGCTGGAATGGGTCCCCCTCCGCGCCCCGAATGGCCTGACTCAGCACCACCAGCTGGTCCCCAGGTTCCCAGGCTGGAATGGGTCCCCCTCCGCGCCCCGAATGGCCTGACTCAGCACCACCAGCTGGTCCCCAGGTTCCCAGGCTGGAATGGGTCCCCCTCCGCGCCCCGAATGGCCTGACTCAGCACCACCAGCTGGTCCCCAGGTTCCCAGCCTGGAATGGGTCCCCCTCCACACCCCGAACGGCCTGACTCAGCTCCACCAGCTGGTCCCCAGGTTCCCAGGCTGGAATGGGTCCCCCTCCGCGCCCCGAATGGCCTGACTCAGCACCACCAGCTGGTCCCCAGGTTCCCAGGCTGGAATGGGTCCCCCTCCGCACCCCGAACGGCCTGACTCAGCTCCACCAGCTGGTCCCCAGGTTCCCAGGCTGGAATGGGTCCCCCTCCGCGCCCCGAATGGCCTGACTCAGCACCACCAGCTGGTCCCCAGGTTCCCAGGCTGGAATGGGTCCCCCTCCGCGCCCCGAATGGCCTGACTCAGCACCACCAGCTGGGGGTTGCCAGCTTCCAAAAGGGCAGAAGGCTCTCATGGCCGCTTGCCCCGTCGGGCTCATAACTCAGCAGAGGAGGCCGCTGCCCCTGCCAAGTGACATACCGGGCAGGCCCCTCCCGGCAGCAGGACTGGTGTAAACACGGGCAGCAAGGGCGTCAGGAGCCACCTTCCCGCAGGTGAAAGGAGCGAATATTTAGCGGCACATCACCCTGAGTTATCGCTAGGCACCCAGCTTTACTAGGGACTGCTCTGAATGCCAGTCCTGTGTAACCCCGCACAGGGTGCCCCACGCCCCCCCACCCTGCCGCGGGTTTGCTCCAGGCTGTGGGTCGCTCCCACCTTGGCCCGCGTCAGAAGTCGTTATCGCTCTCCTCCAGGGGCTCTGGCTTCCTGGCCCGGCGATTGGCCTTGCTGGGAGCGAGCTCCACACTGTCGTCTTCTAGGTCGTCCTCATCGTCGTCTTCGTCATCGTCCAGGCCAATCTCGCTATCCTCCGACTCCTGGAAGAAAGCAGGGGCCACGTGGCCCGTCCCTTCTCAGCCCAGCACTAGCCTCCATGTCCGGGGCTTCTGCCTGCCCAGAAACCGGCCGGGGCGCCCGGCGCCCCAGGAAGTGCAGGCGGGTTCCCGGGCTGAGCTTAGCCCCGCTGAGCTGTGCCAAGGGGCCCCCGGTGGGCAGGATCCCCTTGTGGACCTGGCCTCACGAGCAGGAAGAGGGATTCTGTTTGTGGCCGTACCACGGAGCCAGCGGCCCAGCCTGGAGGTGCTGGGAGCCGGCAGCCCTCCCCCCGGTGGGCACTAACAACACTACCCCTCTGGCGGCAGGAAACCACCTTTCCAGGCCCAGTGAATCTAGGGGGTGGCAGGCCCATGGAGAGAGGCCGAGAGCCCTAGGGGTGGAAATGAACCGCAGGGGACAAACCCACCTGTGCCGTGGAGCTGGAGGTCTTGGGTTTACCTGGTGGGGCTTGGGCAGCTCCCCCCTTGGCGAGCGCGAATGGAGAGAACAAGGCGAGATGGAGAACGGAGACATTACAAAGAAGAGCGCGCCCGAGGAGAGCGAGGGGAGGAGACAGCAGCCGGCGCTGGGGGTGGGGGGAGGGGCTGGGTGCTGGGAACACGGCCCACCCAGGTGGGCCCCAGTCTGGCCGAGGGAGGCCAGGTGGGGGTAAGGAAAGCTGCCCTGGCTCCACTTTGCCTCCCACTGCCAATGTGCTGGCCTGTGGCCCAGGCAGCTTCTTGGAACCCCCCTTCCTTCTGTACCCCTGCAGCAACCCACTGCATGCCTGCCCCCAGCCTGCCTGCTGGGCCCTACCCTAACGCTACACAAGCAAAGCAGGCAGGGAGGCCACCGGGCGCAGCACCGGCTGCCACGTATGGCTCTGCCCAGCTGCTGCTCACTCGGCCCCCTGCCTGCCCTGCTCCCCGGGTGGGTCTAGCCCTTCCCTCCCTGGGGTCCCCTGCTCTCTCTGACCCGTCTTGCCGAACTAGGGTGGTTAATGTAGGCAACCGGAGTTGCAAATGAAGCCTGGGATTTGAATTTCCCGGGCTTTATTTGCATGTTGCCGGGCACCGCCATTTTTAAATGTCCGCTAGTTCGGACTCCGTGCCCACGGCTACACGCAGCACGAACTAGGTAGTTCGGACTAGGCTTCCTATTCCGAACTACCGGTACGCCTCGTTCCACGCCTTGCGCCTGAAGGTACCCCCCGCCCCCGGCCCTGGCTACTGCTGCCACAGCACGGTTTGTTCTCCGCAGCTGGGTGGGGCCGGGCAGGGAACGTGCCCCCGTCAGCCTGCACAGGGACGCGGGGCTCTCCACCCTAGCACAAAGTGGACGCATGAGGCAGAAACACAAAGCCCAAGCAATGTGAGCCGGAAACGAATGGCAGAGCAAGGCCTGGAAGTGAGGCTAGTGGCTGGAACTCACGCCGGCCCTGAGCACAGGCCACTGGGAGCTGGCCTGCCCAGCGAGGGCCTCAGTATCTGAGATCTCAAAGCTAGCAAACCCTCCCGGATGGGGCAGCCCTTCTCTCTGCACACCCTCGTGCCATCTCAGGCTCCATGGCTGGACAAAGGAGTGGGAGGGGCGAGGGGTTCTAGGAAAGGCAGGAGTCTGCCATTGCTAAGGAGGTACCGGAGGTAGGGCATGGGGGAAGGAGCGGGCTAAAGAGGTGAATGGGGAAGGAGTGGGCTAAAGAGGTGAATGGGGAAGGAGTGGGCTAAAGAGGTGAAGGGGGAAGGAGAGGGCTAAGGAGGTGAAGGGGGAATGAGCGGGCTAAGGAGGTGAATGGGGGAAGGAGCGGGCTAAGGAGCTGAATGGGGAAGGAGCGGGCTAAAGAGGTGAAGGGGGAAGGAGCGGGCTAAAGAGGTGAAGGGGGAAGGAGCGGGCTAAAGAGGTGAAGGGGGAAGGAGCGGGCTAAAGAGGTGAAGGGGGAAGGAGCGGGCTAAAGAGGTGAAGGGGGAAGGAGCGGGCTAAAGAGGTGAAGGGGGAAGGAGCGGGCTAAAGAGGTGAAGGGGGAAGGAGCGGGCTAAAGAGGTGAAGGGGGAAGGAGCGGGCTAAAGAGGTGAAGGGGGAAGGAGCGGGCTAAAGAGGTGAAGGGGGAAGGAGCGGGCTAAAGAGGTGAAGGGGGAAGGAGCGGGCTAAAGAGGTGAAGGGGGAAGGAGCGGGCTAAAGAGGTGAAGGGGGAAGGAGCGGGCTAAAGAGGTGAAGGGGGAAGGAGCGGGCTAAAGAGGTGAAGGGGGAAGGAGCGGGCTAAAGAGGTGAAGGGGGAAGGAGCGGGCTAAAGAGGTGAAGGGGGAAGGAGCGGGCTAAAGAGGTGAAGGGGGAAGGAGCGGGCTAAAGAGGTGAAGGGGGAAGGAGCGGGCTAAAGAGGTGAATGGGGAAGGAGCAGGCTAAGGAGGTGAATGGGGAAGGAGCGGGCTACAGAGGATAAAGGAAGAAATCAGGGCAGGAGAGGGAGGGGTGGGGCTGAGGCTGGGAAGGGGCATGGGCAGCGAATGCTGGTGTGTTGGGGACGCTGCCAGCTAGTGCTGGGGGACAGGTCTGTTGCTGCGAAGCGCCCTTGGAGATGCCCGGCAGCCCACAGATCCTTCCTACTTACATCATCCTCTGTGTCTCCTCCTTGCATTGTCCCCACGATCCGCTTGTTGGGTCTCCCTGCAGCCGAGAGAGAAACAAGATGAGAAAAATGCTTGTTCCTCTACTTGGTTAAAAGAGCAACTAAGAAGCGGCTCGGTGAATGAACCTGCTCTGGGGAGAGAAAGCTCCTGGTTTGCTCTCCAGGGACATAATCATGTGCCCTCATCAAGGCGAATGACAGCAGGGTTGGACCCCAATGCTCCTTCAATGCCATGGGGCTCTGAAAAAAGTGTGGGGGGATTATCTGCTTACTCATCTTGTTGGCTGGATTTACGGTTAATAGAGCCCTACCCCACCCGCTCCACCACCACCACCGCGCGCCCCTTGATGGCTTCAGACACATTGTTTCTCTAGCTCTAGATTTTTACACCATAGCTAGCCCTCATTGGGCTGCTCCTTGGTTTAGACCCCGGTGTGCTACCGGGTCTCTTGGGGTGTGTCTAGACTACCTAGTTTTGTCGACAAAAGTGGACTTTTGTCGACAAAACTATACCAGCGTCTACACTACCGCTGAGAACTCAGCAGTTTTGTCAACGCTGGTAAACCTCATTTTACGAGGCATAACACCTTCTGTCAACAGAACTCTGTCAACAGAAGGTGTTATTGCCTGTAACGTTGCGTCCAGACTACGGAGTTCTGTCGACAAAGCGACTTGCTTTGTCGACAGAACTCAATGTAGTCTAGACGCTCTTTGTCGACAGAAGCCTGTAGTCTAGACGTACCCTTGGAAATCTGCCAGCGGAGGGGCCATCGGCACCAGTCTAGCACCTCGTCCTGGCTTTCGCTGCTGTTTGCAGCTCCAGTGGCCCCTGCTTTTGCTAAGTGCCTGTGCACGCACTGGTGCTGAGATAGAGCATCCGGTGTGCCCGGAGCTTTGAAGACAAAATGATGCTCCAGCTGTTCACAGCTACCCAGAGCACGTGGCACAGCACCGCTGAGGAGATGGACATGCAAGGAGCATGCTTTGGCCCAGGTCACTGCACCGAGCCAGGCCGTGCGCACACGTATGTCTGTAGTGAGCCTTGGCGGCAGAGTCCGGCTTTTCTCCCACACTGGTGAGACTCTGGAGTGATGCCACTGAAGGGACGTTACGCCGGCGAGTCAGGCCCTGAGTTTCCATGGCTACCTCCTACCAGTACGCCAGTGCCACAGGCCGGGCCGCACAGCCCACGAGAGAATGGCTGTTCCCGCCACAGTAATCTCCCGCCTGCTGACAGACTTGCCATCAAGGAGCCGCTCAAGTAACACAGCACAATCGGTTTAGTTGACTGAGAGGTACCTGATTGCAGTGCCAGTATCTGCCGGGGGAGGGAATCCTGGCCATTACGGCTCTTCAGCCTCCAGAGAAAGGCAGAGCAAGAGCCCAGGGCTGGACGCTGAAGCCAGACAACTCCAACTTACAAAGCGAGGCGGTAGATTTTCCAACTGCCTCTCTGGGAGATACGCTTAGTGAAACACAAGTCCCTGGCCCTGGGACGGGCTGAAGGTTACACTAGCTGAGCTAACTATCTCAAACATGCTATAGATGCTTATCGGACAGTATTTGGACCAGTCGATATCCCCTCCCCCCTTGCTGCCTCTATGAGCTGGGCAGTGGCGGCCCCCTTTAAAATGCCGCCTGTGAGCCTTTCCAAGGGTCAGCTGGGGAGCTGTCTGACCCCAGACTCCCCACGTCATTTCTCCAGAACCCAGGACTCCCCAGCTGCCCCTGGGCTCCACAGCTGCCCCTCTGAAAGGCGCGGAGGTGGCAGTTCCAAGGGGAAGCCGCTGCACAGCTGACTAGGTGTGTGGCAGCTTCCCCTTTGAAACTGTCGCCTCTGCCTGTTTTAAAGGGGCAGTGGAGCCCGGGGTCACTCCACTGGAAGGGCTGCCAGGGGCACAATCCTGGGAAAGTCCTGGACCAGCAGCGAGGATGGCGAGGAAAGGCAGAGGCAATCCACAAGAGCCTGCTCCACAGATGCAGCTGACACAGTGGGGACCAGGACTGCCCTTGTTGGAACTGGGTCAGCACGGCGGGGTTTCTGCCCTCCCCACTTGGTACCAGAGGCGGGTCAGAGATGCCATGGCTGTCCTGCGCTCTGGAACTGCTCTGTGCCACTCTGTGCTTTTCCTGGGCGAGGCAGAGGCGGCCCGTGATCTGGAGGGATCCCAGTCGGTCTTGAGACTGAGGCGACTGGAACGAGAGGTGTTGGGCTGGCCATGCCCGAGGAGGTTCTGTGGCCTGAAGAGGGCCTCAGCGCCGGTTCAGGCCGGCCGGACCGAGCAGGCGCTGCGGGAGGCAAAGGCGCCACGCCACCTGGCTCCTCTTCCCGGTGGATTTACAAACCGAGCAGCAGTCCCCAGGCTGGGCTGCACTGAGAGGAAGGCAGAATCGTTTAAATAGGGTGAGGGCAGCTCGACGGCCTCTCTCTGCTAACTAGCGACACAGTGCGCCAGGCGAAGAGTAAACGAGGCCACAACCACCTGGAGTTCAAACTCCAGCCATGGGCAGTGGAGGGGAGTCAAGCTCACGTCACCTCCCATAGCCGGGGGGAAGGGGGGTCCAGTCTGTGTAACATGACCCAAGCTAACCTCTGTGGCTCTGCAAGAGCCACCTCAGACTTGTCCTCCCAAGTGTATTCTAAACTGATGGCCAGTCGCGGGCACCTAGCCCAAGGGCGCTGGGGGCAGAAAGCAGAGGGAAAGCCTGGGGGGTGGGGGGTGATTTTTGCTCTTCCTTTCAGCCATGTAAACCAGAAGTAGCTCCATGAAGTCAAGGGACTTGCATTGCTGAGGTGGGATGAGAATCAGGCCCGTGACACAGCCCTCGGGGGACTGTCTGAGCCTGAAGCGGGGAGGGCGAGGGGCACAAGACACCCTCGCGGGTTTTGCCTTCCTCTGCAGCACAGGGCGCAGGTCCCTTGCTGGTCTGAACAAGCGTTCCTGGCGGGCTCGCTGCAACTTGATGTCTTTAAATCATGATTTGAGGACTTCAGTAACGCAGCCAAAGATGATGGGCCTGTTACAGGAGTGGCTGGGTGAGGTTCTGAGGCCTGCAGCGTGCAAGAGGCCAGACTAGCAGCATGATTACCTACAGTCTGTAATCTCATACACCGTCTCGGATTTAACTGGCTGACACAGGGCGCAGGAGGCCCAGGGGACGGACCCGAACATGATTCTACGGAGAGCAGAGTGATGGCTGAAAGGAGAAAATTAAATCCCCACCCGAGGAGCGTTGGTTTGTGTCTGGTTTCTGGGGGTATGTCTACACTACCCTGCTAGTTCGAACTAGCGGGGGTAACGTAGTCATCCGCAGTTGCAAATGAAGCCTGGGATTTGAATTTCCCGGGCTTCATTTGCATGAAGCCGGCCTGCGCCATTTTTAAATGCCGGCAGTTCGAACACCGTGCCGCGCGGCTACACGCAGTACGGAGTAGCTAGTTCGGATTAGGCTTCCTAATCCGAACTAGCTGTACTCCTCATTCCACGAGGAGTACAGCTAGTTCGGATTAG